CAACAATTTCTCACTGTGACAGTGACTCAAACCAACAATTTCTCACTGTGACAGTGACTCAAACCAACAATTTCTCACTGTGACAGTGACTCAAACCAACAATTTCTCACTCCGACGGTGACTCAAACCAACAATTTCTCACTCCGACGGTGACTCAAACCAACCAACAATGTCTCCGTTACTTAAGTAATGACAGTTGAAATTGTCCAAGGCAGCTACCCATCGGGGAAGAGAAAGGCAGCTGTCCTAGATAGGTGGACGTCATGGATGTATATATATATATAGGTGGACGTCATGGATATATATATATAGGTGGACGTCATGGATATATATATATATAGATGGACGTCATGGACAGATAGTTTTAGAAAATGGCAAGTGAGAAGTGGATTTGTACAGGTGTACCATTATGGATAGGTGATCATTGGAGCAGGTTCGAGTCAGTTACTTCATTACCCAAACCGACAGTTATTTCAAACTGAAAATGAACCAAACTATTGCTTAAACCATTAACTTCTAGAAACAACAGTTATTTCACCCGCGGAATTAATCAAACTATTGCTCAAACCATTAATTTCTAGAAACAACAGTTATTTCAAATGGTGAACTACTCAACAGACAATTGCTCATTTCTCAAAAAATTACTCAGCAAGCAATTACACAAGGAAGCAATCACTCAGACAATCCTGACAAAAGGGCCCATATGTCACCTATTTTAAAAATTGAGATAAGACAGATTTTGTCAGTTTTATAGGCTTTAAAAGTCTGAATTAGTTGTTTTAAAAAAATTTTCAGATTTTAAAAAATACTTTGAGAGTGTTTTTCCACACTTAAATGACCTAATTGTTTTGCAAAATGCCTTATAACTTGTATTAAAACTAAAAACTGGAACAAGTACTCAGACAGACAATTACTCAAATAAACAATAACTAAAAAAACCCAACATTACTCACACAGTTATTCAAATAAACGATAGCTCAAGTAATTACTCATATTGACAGTTGCTCAAATAGAATTACACGAAGAAACAATATTTTAAACACAAAAATACATAGACAAACATAAATTACCCAAATAGAATTATTCAAACAAATGATAACTGAAACAATAACACACACATTTTACACACACAACCAATTAATAAAACAATTATTCAAACAGATTGCGC